AGAGGGCCCATTCACTAGCCCAGCTATTAGTGATCTTGGACGTGAAGGACTGGACGAGCGCGGAGGAGTTGTAGGGAAGAGGGGACCGAAGTATGGCGGGGAGGTCGGCCAAGGCACTGGAGAGGCCACGAGCGGCGGACTTAGCTCCCCCGTCTGCAAGCTCATTGCCCACGACACCTTCGTGACCCGCGACCCATCGAAGCTCCAGCCGGTAGCCTAATGGGCCACGCTCGCGCTTGAGAGCCTTCGTAAGGCGCACGAACTCGTCGACTAAATGTTGACCGGAGTGAGCAGCGGCAGTCGAGGGCGACTTCAGAGCGCTTTGATTGTCGATGTTAATGGAAGAGTGCACGCAGGCATCGGCTTCTGTCTGGATGAGGTGAATGCCGAGTACGAGTCCGACCAGTTCAGCCTCATACACAGTGTGGTGAGAAATCTTCCCCAGATGGAAGTGGAGCATCCGGGGGGCCTGTCCCAGCCGAAGGAGAACCGCCGAAGCACCAACCTTGCCTTCAATTGCGGAGCCGTCCGAGTAGATGCGAATCACGTTCGTCTGAGTGGCGTCAGATGCGACAGCGGCCTCCCTGGAGTCAGCGATAATGGTCGTGAATGGGAGCGAAGACCCGGGGCGAAGGGAGACAGGTGCGAGAGTCTCGATTCGATCAGGGACAATCCTGGTGAGGCGGAAGAGGTCATGGAGCGGCTCCCTGTGACGGGCGATGGAGATGTGCCGGGCACAGTGGCGCATGATGGGAAACAGCGGGTGAGATGTGGGAAGGGACGCAATTCGTACAGCAGCTCGAGTGCAAATCTTGTCCACCCAGTGCATGGTTGGTAGAAGATAGGCATGAGCGTCGAGAACGGTGGTGGGAGAGGTGCGGAGGCCACCGGTGATGGCAAGAGCACCAAGATGCTGAACGCGGGCCATAGCCTTGACGTGACCGACAGAGCCTGACAGACACGTTCCTCCGGTATCGATAAGGGGGGAGCACCATACATCAAGAGCATATCCCATCTTTGGTAGAGCGACTGCAATGAAAAGACGCCGTACCTGACCAGGCGACAAACCGCTAGATGGCTTGGCAAGGCGTCGGAGCTGAAGCGTCCAGTCCAAACCTCGCTTCACCGCGTACTGAGCCTGAACATGCCACCGAAGCTCCTGATCGAAGTGAGCCCCGAGATACTTCGCAGAGGGGGAAGACGGAACGATGGCGAGATCGGGGATGACCAGAGGAGGGTGAGGCATGACCTTATTTCGAGTGAAGTCGACAAGCGCGAGCTTCTTGGGTTCGAACCGAGAGTTGTGAGTCTGCGACCATTCGACCCCACCACCCGGGTGCTAAGGTAGCCTGGTCCTAAACCTAAGGCGTCACCTATAGCCAAACCCTAACCAAACCCAAACCAAGCCTAACCCTGTAGCTGAGGGTATCGGCGTATGAATGTGAGTACTAGGAGCACTTGTCCTAGGGGCACTAGCCCAGAGAGAATAATGGGTGAACTTGAGACCGTGGGCTTGGGGCTGGATACACCAGGACACAAGGTCACACTGAGTATGGCGAGAAGCAAAGGAGATCGAGTTCCGAGACTACCACTTCGAACCTTTACAAATGGTAATCGTAACCGATTGTAACATCCGAGTCTACTCCGATCATGTTGCGAGCAGACGTATGTAATGGTGTCCATAATGTGTCCATGTCTACTTCAAACCTTTGCAAGCAGACGTACGTAAGGGGGTAGCCGGGATTAGCGGCGTGCAATGAGGGGTGTACAAGGACCATAGTCCAGGGGGTCCTAGCCCAGCGAGTGTTGAGTGGATACAAGGACGTACCAGTCCAGGGAACACCGAGTCTCAAGGCTCGGTGAGGAGCAAGGAGATCGAGTTAGGGAACTATTCTACGATACAGGTAGTTCTTATATACATCCTGGGCTGACCCTTGAGGGCACGTCCTCACTGTACACTAACGAGTGAACACTACAGGAATCCTTCATGGATATCCAGTGGGTCCAGCAATGGGCACAATGGGTACAAACCGCTGAGTCAACATGCACAAGACTATTCTAGAACGTTCCAGACCTGATCACATGTCCCTACATCACGACCACAAGGTCACATGCCATCACGTGCCTACCACATGACTGGTCACGTGCCTATCCCTCTATCCATCCCACATCTCCATT